CTTACACAAACAGCTCACAGACACGTAGAGAGAGAATGAAGGCTTAAAAGGAAAGAGGGGGCGAGAGGGGGGCGTGCGAGCGAGCGAGCGAGACACAGAGAGAGAGAGAGAGAGAGAGAGAGAGAGAGAGAGAGAGAGAGAGAGAGAGAGAGCTCAAAGTTGGCGCTGCAATCGCTCGGGCAAACCAGGTTGGCGCTCCAATCGCTCGGGCAAACCAGGTTGGTACTACACAACGGAAAAAAGACAAAAAAGAAAAAGAGGCATTGAGCTTTCGCCGCCGCGTCGCTGTTCCCGACGCCTTTTTTTTTTTTTTTTTTTTTTCCCCCCCTCCAAACCTCTTAGGGGCTGATCTTCAGTCTACAGCGTGACACGTGCATCTCCTCGACGAGTGATGGCCTGCGCTGTCGATGGCTCCAGTCTATTGGTGGGAAGCAACACCGGCTGGAAAACGACGGATCAGGCGGCCCAGGAATACAGTGGTTGGGCCAACTGGCCTAGCTCAGTTGATACACCCCTCAAATAGGCATAGGGGGAGAGGTCCCAGTAGCAAGGAGGAGTGGATTGAATGCCTGAATCTGGACGTGTTTGTGGAGACGTGCAAAAAATCGGGATTGATCTGCTTTTCTGCATCTCTGCGTGAAACACATCCAGATTCAGGCGCTTAATCTAATCCTCTGTGTTAATGGGACCACTCCCCTGGTGCAGGGTGAGGGGTATTCTGCTTTGAGTTTCGTCACAGGTGCCTTGAGGGCAGTGGTTGGTGGTCCCCACCACGTCAGAGGGGTATCAGTTGTCGGCCAGTCGTTGATGCTTAACCACAGCCGGGGTTAAGGTGGATTATCACTCACAGTGTGTAATCAGTTAGGGGGTTCCCCAGACTGTTGAGTGTTCAGCCTCCTGATGATGAAGAAGAAGAAGAAGAAGAAGAAGAAGAAGAAGGGAGATGGATAATATCAAGCAAGAGGAGAAGTAGAGAGAGGTAAAAAAAAAAAGAAGGAAAAAAAACAAAAAGAGAGAGAGAGAGAGAGAGAGAGAGAGAGAGAGAGAAGGAAGGAAGGAGGAAGGAGGAAGGAAGAGGGAGAAGAAAAGAGATGAAGAATCGTCCCTCGAGGGCATCATGTCTGAAGATACTATGATGAACCCAATAACAAGAGCAGACCAGGGGAAAGAGAACCCCCCTAAAAAAAGGGACCCCGTAGACTTAATGCTCGCTCAGCCTGGCGATTACCCTTTGCACAGGCACCTCGTTGCAAAGCATGCTATGAGTTTCGCCGACTGTTTTTTTTTTTTTTTACATCCCGCTTCATGTGCTTTGCGTGTTTTTTTTTTTGTTTTTTTTTTTTTTTTTTTTTAAATACATCTCGCTTCATATGCTTTGCGTGTTTGTCACTTCGCTAAGTTAAACATATGTTGCGTAGAGATTCGTACTCCTTCCTTCCTTTTCTCTACAGCTCTCATGGCGCACGCAAACTTGGAGCTTTTTTTTTTCTTTTCTTTTTTTTTTCGGATTTATTGTACTTCAGCACTTCAAGGGGGGTGTATCACAACGCCTCGGGATTGGTCGCACTTCCCCCTTCCCCTCTCCCCCGGGCTGATGCGTAGCGATTGAGCTCTGACTCACTATTTCATTGTATTTCAATTTCGTCTCCATATTCTTCTTGTTAAGGAGGGTGGGAGAGGAAAAGGAGGGTGGAAGAGAAAAACGAGGGTGGAAGAGAAAAAGGAGGATGCTTGCGCAGCCGGAGTAATGGCCGAAGTGAGAGCTGCAAGCTTGTGCATGTAGGTATTTCATGAAATAAATATGCTGTGTTCTGCATGGGCCACGTGGCAAGTTTCAACCTTCCGTTCCCTGGCACTGTTCTGTAGACAGTGGCTCAGCATCTGGCCAGCGTGTTGGGGGAGATTTGCAATATCACACAAAAATATGTGAATGACATGCAAATCCAAATGTTAAACAACCATTCCAATATATCAAAACACAGAGAGAGAGAGAGAGAGAGAGAGAGAGAGAGAGAGAGAGAGAGAGAGAGAGGGTTTGGGCGAGGTGCGGGCCAGCTGAACAGGCAGATGGAGTGCCGAGGACATGTCTGGGCTCCCATCTTTTCTCCTGGTCCTGTTCTTAATATGCTGTATTGCACGTGCCGTGCCACGTGGCACTGCTTGTATTTGGACGGAAGTCAAGGCAGATACGGTCAAAAACCCTGATTCCTAAGAGGATGCTGACTGGAGCTGGGATGGGTTGCGCTGCCCTGTGACCTACTGTCTTTCCCCGAACATAACACATAGGCCCAAATGCGTTGCGTTGGAATTTAAGGGCTGTTCGAATAGAACGCAGATGTGTTCTATTGGAATAGAAAGCAGGCTGTGCGTGTTGTATTCAAAAAGACAGCAGCCTGTGCGTGTTGTATTCAAATAGAAAGCAACCAATGCGTGTTGTATTCGAAGAGAAAGCAACCTATGCGTTGTATTTGTTTACAATGCATAATATGCGTTAAGTTAAACAGTAGCATGTTGGGGGTCTGAGGCCTGGCAGAGTTCTGGTATCGTGGTTATGAGACCCTTGAGGCAGGCTTGGGTTTGGTCAGGTGAATAGCACCCCGGGAGTTTGGTTTCGGCAAGGGTCCAATGGTCTGCCGCAGCGATCCAGCACACCATCACGCAAAGTTGCAGCATACCCCTCAGGACTTTCGGACTCGCTGATCACCACCGATTCTAGCCACTACTCCCACAGAGTTGGCAAATGCATTGCGAGAGCAAAAAAAACATGTTTATGGAATTCATAGTTGCGAAGAAAAGGGAAGAGGGGATGATGATTGGGGAGAGGTAGGGACAAGGAGGGGAGGGAAGTCGACAGAGTAGACAGCAGGAAGGCCATGTTGGTCAGGCAGAGGTGATCGCAGTCTCGTAGCCAATCGGATCGCAGAGTGGGTACTAGGTAGATCAAGGTCTCTCTACGCGCTGCCGTCCGACTTCTACAGTCACTTGCCGATTTACAAGATCCTTCAGGGTATTAGACAAAGGGAGGTTACCAGAGATGGTGTAAGGAGGGGCCAAGATTCAACAGGATCAAGAAGAAGGAGAAGGTGTGAAAAACGGAGAGGAAGACAATTACAGATAGCCGCTGATGGCACGAAGAAAGGGAGTGGGGATCACGAGGAAAGACTGCATGCAAGAGCGCGGGCGCAGAAAGATGCATTCGCGGAAATCGTAACGGCACCGAAACAGTTACGTGAAATGCTAGTGAAGCTGTGCCTAATAACAACAGCCAAATTGGAATTGAAAAGTTTGAAAAGAAGTTCCATGTGCACTTGCTAAGGCACGCAAATTCCTACGCGGATTCCTATTTTATCATCCACCAACAAAAATTAATGTGGCTCGCAGGGGCGTCTCCGAAATTTACTGTCGGAAGGGAAAGGACTCGACGCGAAGTATTCCGACAAGCGTCCATGAGTTTAAAAAGCTCAAAAGGAGTTCCGAGCACGCTCGCTAAGGATAGTGAAAAATCCTTCTATGCGGCAAGAATAAATTTCACACAAGTTGTGAGAGTAATTCCGAAATTCGCAAAAAGAAATTCAAACTCGGAAAGAAAATGGATTTAATTTAGCCGACATAAGTTACCCACACATACCCCACCAAAGACAAAGCCTGAAGAATCACGTCGGAATCCGAAAGCACAGCCAAAAACATAGTACACTTCCCTTTAAGAACATAATTTAAAAACGAAAGGGGCGCAGGAACCAGTGCGTGCACGTAAGCTACCGCGTCACAGGGCAGCAACCTAAAGAAGCAGCTCATCAGGCGTAGTAGACTGGAGCATTTGTCCCCTTACAAAAAAAAGAAAAAAAGAAAAAAAAAGATTCCGCAGGTGTGCAGTCAGACTCCAGTTTTTCCAGCTGAGGTTCCCTTCGTCGTCGATCTTACACATCTTTATGCAGATCCGCCCAGATCCAGGAAAATTCCTCTGTCAAGACCAATTCTTATCGCAGCTTCGGGCTCGCTTTCACCATTATATTTGTTCTCATGCAGTCCATTACTTCAGGCCTTGGGTTGTGCAAGAAAGCCAAGGGTGAAGCCTTTTCCTCTGACCGAGCATCTAATCCTCTAGATGGCCAAGGACCTCATATGCATAAAAGGGTGAAGTCTTTTTCCAAGCCCACTACAGCAACTCTGATGCCCATGAGATCCCCCTTCTTATTTTGACCATCACTCTGTCTTCAGGAGGACCCACTGCACCTTGCCCCTGAGAGGTTTGGCGAATATGCCTGTAACGGCCGGGCCGGGCCCCGTACTTGGTAGATTGCCATGGGAGTGGACGTAATGTCTTTTCAATAACCCAGTCCCCTCGCTGCAGTGACGGTCCCCTCTTCAACCCCCTTTCTGAACTAATAAGGGGGATGACCTCCCTGAGTATGGTTAGGCTAAGCTTGGTCTCGACCCCTTTAGTATAATTGAGTGTTTGTTTCAAGGGGGGGGGGTAACTTCCACTTCTGCCCTTCTCGATATTATCCCGAAGGCCGCGTACTGTGAATATCCCTTTTCTGACCAACGTCAGCCAATAGGAGTGTTGGTTGGTGTAGGCCCATACTATACATAGACTACCGAGAGGATGAGATAGATGAGTACTAGCAAGAAGATGAGATAGATGAGAGAAGAATATAGCTTAGTACTTAAAATAAATAAAAAAAGTTTTAGTGAGAAGGGTTGCTGATTAGCATCGAAGATCTGGGAAACCCTCCTAGATTTTGTCCTTTTTTTTTCATATTTATTTATTTATTGATTGATTGATTAATTGGTTGGGGCGGGGTCGCCCCTTCCCCGGGAGCCCAACCAATCAATCAATTTTTTTAATTCAAAATTTTATCGTTTTTTTGATTGATTGATTGATTGATTGGGGGCGGGTGGGGTTGCGCCCCCCCCACACACACGCACACACAAATGGGAGTGCTTGTTCACACTTTTTTTCTAAGTTGTTTACCATTTCCGGCTGGATTAAGTGACTGGAATGTCCGGCCGCTTTATCCGGCATCCTGTTTATCCGGAATTCCGGATAATTAAAACCGGAAAATGACTGAAAATATATTTTTTTTATTTTTTTTTTTTATTTTTTTTTTATTTTTTATTTTTTTTTTTATTTTGCGCTTGAAGAGGACTCCAACAGGTTCGAATATGGGATTTTTTTCTCCTCCTCCTCCCTGTCCGCCTCCTCCTTACTCCTCTCCTCGTCCTCTGCCACTTCTGCATCCTCCTCCTTCTCCTCCTCCTCTTCTTGGTCGTCCTCGTCCACCTCCTCCTCCTCCTCCTCCTTCTCCTCCTCCTCCTCCTCCTCTTCCTCCTATTCTGCATCTTCTTCTTCATCCTCCTCCCCTTCCTCTTCTTCGTCTTTCTCCTCCTCCTCGTCTTCTACTTCGTCTTCTTCCTTCTCCTCCTGCTCCTCTCCTTCCTCCTCCTCCTCCTCCTCTTCTAATTCTTCTTCTTCTTCTTCCTCCTCCTCCTCCTCCTCCTCATCATCATCATCACCTTTTCTCCTCCTCCTCCTCCTCCTCCTCCTCCTTGTCATCCTTCCTCCTCAACAACCATTTCGTCAAAATGGACATTTTTTATTTTTTGAACGAAATTGAAACTGAGTTTTTTGGCCGAAAACTCGTCAAAATTGCTGTTCCTGAGGGTCCAGTCCCCTGGCTGTACATGGACCTAGCTTGAGACCAGGCACCTCCAGGCAGGACTGCCTGGAGGTACCTGGTTTCAAGCTAGGTCCATGTACAGCCAGGGGGTCCAGCGTTTTACAAACGCCGGACCCTCAGGAACAACAAATTTTGACGAGTTTTCGGCCAAAAAACTTGGTTTCAATTTGGTTCAAAAAATAAAAGATGTCCATTTTGACGAAATGGCAGTTCTTCCTCCTCCTCGGCCCTTTCCTCGTCCTAGTACTCCGATTTTTCGCTTCACTCGACAACACTTTTCAAGAGCTGCAAGCCTCCAACCATCGTCAGTGCAGCTTCGGAGGGAACGAGCTATAAAGCGGATCGATTAGGCTTTCGCCCCTATATCGCCCTGACCCACTTTCCCCCCCCCCCCTCTTGAATCAATCAATCAATCAAAAGAAAAAAAAAAGAACAAACATTATCGGATTATCCAATCGAATCAATCGATGAGAACCAATCAAATCGATTGATTCAATTGGATTGATCAATCAATCAATCAATCAATCAATCAATCAATCAAACAATCAATCAATCAATCAATCAATCAATCGTGGTTGTCGTTCTCAACCCTCCCTCAAACATGTTACCTCTTTTCCGTTGTCGGCATTCCCTTTTCTGCGCATTCATCGGAAGACGAGGTAAGACGACGGTATCGTGTCGGCAGGCGAACTGTTGTTGGACGCGCTGATGATGTGGGCGGCGGGAAGGATGAGGCGACGACGGCGTTTTGTGGAGGCCGGCGTATCAGCAGCAGCCGGGGTTGGGGTAGTGTCGGGATTCCAGCGTGTTAAGATCTGGAGAGGAGGCGAGAGGTAATGAAGCAAAGGGAGGAGGAGGAGGAGTAGGAGGTGGACGACGAGGAGGAGGAGGGGGAGGAGGAGGTGGAAGGCAAGGAGGAGGAAAGGAGGAGGAGGAGGAGGAGGAGGAGGAGG